TTTGTGGCATCCTTTTTTTTTCTTTTTTTTAATGAAAATAAAGTTTTAAATCTTTTTTCATGATTTAGGATTGGGATGGCTGCAAGCAACAAAAAAAACACTAATAGTTACCCAGAGAGGGACTGATTTGTCTTGAGCCACAGGAAGTCTTCAGATTGGCTGTACAGGGCTGACTGACACAGTGGCAGCAACATGCCACCAAAGACCCAGCGCTCTCCTCTTTTTACTTTGCTATATTTAGCAGGTTGCCTTGGTACACATGCTTGTTGCCTCATGGTTGCAAGAGGACTGTTCCAACTCCAGACACTATATCCTTGCCCCAGACAGAAAGAAACAGGAAGGTCCAAGGACCAAAGCCTTTCTTTCAAGCTTTAACTGTTGATTCCAGAAGAGAAGCCCTCCCAGGGACCTCTCCTGACATTCGATCCATCAGACCTGGTTCACATGGCCACCCAAGATGCAAGAAGTTTTGTGAATGGCTTTTCCATAGCGGATCCCTTATTGTCTGCTACATTGTGTTGTTGGAGGATGGCTACATAGTGCTTTCAAGCTGTGCATACAATCCCCTGAAAATCTTGTTAAAATGAAGTTTGTGATTCTGTAGGTCTGGAGTGGGGCCTCAACTTCTTCCTGTCTGACAAGCTCCCAGGTGACGCTATTAGTTAACTGTTACTGTGTAACCAAACTTCCCAAAACCTCACAGCTTAAAACAACTATCTTGTTTGCTTTTCATTCTTCAGGTGTCGCCTAGAGTAACTCATAGGCTGCAGGCACCTGGCAGATTTACTGAGATTTCCCATGTACCCGATGGCCTACGATAGCCTCATTGGCATATGTGGTGGTTGATACTGATCATCAGCTGGGCCTCTCTTTCTAGGTGGCCATTCGCCCTCTAGAAGAGCTGCCGTGGCTTCTTCACATGGTAGTCCCAGGGTTCCAATAAGGCAAGAGAGGACATAGCAAAGCCTCTTGAGGGCTAAGCTTAGAAGACCCACAGTGTCTTTCTGCCACAAACCATTAGTTAAAGCTGGTCCAGCCCAGGTTCATGGGGCAAGGAAATAGACTCTACCTCTTGGTGGAAGAAAGAGCGAAGTCACCTTGCAGAGAGGCATGCATGTAGCAAAGGGGGGAGTTGTTGCAGCTCTTTGCTAACAAACCACCTCAGAAATCGATGCTGCTGGTTTCTGGGCCCTGTCTGAGTAGCAAAGATTCAGCACAGTGCCTCTCCACCTTGGCTGCATGTTGGAGTCACACGGGAGCTTTAAAACACACTGATGTCTGCTAGAGAAAAAGATAGTTGGTCTGGACATCTGTCTTTTTTTAAACCTCCCAGATGACTCTAAAGCACAGCGTAGGTTGAGAGCCACTGCTTGAGAAGTCTCTAGAATAGAGACTTCTATTCTCTGGTCTCTAGAGAAGTCCTAAGTATCTAGTGGAGTGTCTGGGCATATTGTGGTGAATGCAAGAGTAGCTGGTTGAGGGTGGGAAGAGTACTGATGAAATGCGTCATGGATGTGTTGACGGATTTCCTGGTGAAAGGATCAGCAAATGAGTGTAGAACTCCCAGAAAAGATTTGCACTGGACACGGAGATTTGGGAGTTATGAATAAGTCAATTACAGTTAAAGCCAGGGTTTCATGGAACCCTGGGGATGCATGTAGTGGACTCTTAGCTTAAGGAAGTCTTAATGACTGGCGAGTGCCTGGGAGTCAGAAATGGGGCCTTGGGGTGCCAAGAAAGATAGCCGACACCTCAAAGTCAGTAGTTGTGGCCACACAGATTCAATCATTCAACCAGCATTTGTGAGAGTCTTCGATGTGCCTGGCTGGGTGGTTCAGTTGATTGGAGCATCATCCTATACACCAAATAGTGGTGGATTCGCTCCCCAGTTGGGGTGCATGGGAGGCAACCAATTGATGTTTCTCTCTCACATCGACAGTTCTCTCCCTCTCTACGCCCCTTTAAATCAATAAAAAACATATCCTTGGATGAGAATTTAAAAAAAAAAAAAAAAAGACCATGGAGTTGCTTCCATGAATGTGCTGGGAGAGGAGGTGTCTCAGAAGCTCCTGCTGGACTCTCAGCATGGACTGCCTGGGACACACTTCCACGAGAGCAGGGGCCACTTGTGGAAAAAATTCATCCCTTACCCAACTGTGCCTGGCACGTGGAGTTGCACAAGGGAAGAAAGCTAGCATTTAACCTATAAGGTACCAGGCACTGTGCTAGCTTTAAGTGCATTTTCACTGAGTGAGTCCAGAAGGAAAGCAACGTGGGGTAGTGGTTAAGAACTTGACCTCTGGAGCTAGATTAGTCTGGATTCAAGTCCCAGATCTGCTGCTTATTGTGTGGAGCCAATTCCTTTAGCCTCTCTGAACCTCAGTTTTTTCTTCTACACATCATTCTGATGAGAACTCAATGAGTTAATCGACATCAGCACCTGAAGTAGTCCGAGGTAAGTTCCCAAAGAACATTACCTTCTTTCAATGATTCTTACAGTCATCCCATAAAGCAGGTACCTGGTGTACAGATGAGAAAACTGATGCTCGAAGAGGAAAATGAGGGCCACAGCAGTTGAGGGTGCGCAGGCCATCCGTCCTATGCACTGCTGCTCTCCCCTGCTCCCACCAGGTAGTAGAAGCACAGGCTGCGCCACTCCCCCGAACCCCCTTTTCTAAGAACAGCCCTCCCAGCCAACACTCCACTTCCCTTTCAGGTTGCATCAATGATCGAAAAACACAGCTGAGGCAGCTGTTCCGCTCCCTTCAAGGTCAGAAGAAAACTCCCAGCTAATCCCAGCCGCTGGGGACAAAGTGACCTGGGAGGTGCCATGCCAGCCAGTCCTCTCCCCACTCCAGTTCCAGCACATCAGCACCTCAGAGCATGCGCCTCCGTCCCTCTGGCTAGGCCACAGCTGCGGGTTGCTGCTCGGGGCGGGCCCCCTGGATTCCCCCACCGGACCCCTGGGCATCTTTGCACTAGAGACAGCCAGCCCACGGGACTGGATGGATTTTAACCTTGACATATCAGCCTGGCAAAGAGGCCCAAAGAGGAAAAACTCAGCAAGTTCTCCTACCCCAGAGAGATCATGTCTAATAAATGAGCACAGGCCTTACTCGGAGTTACTGGGCACCAGGCTTGGCTCCAGGGGTGCTGTGGGCAGCAGCCACGTCCTCCTGGCTTTGACCCTTTGATGTCATCTCTCAGAAAGTTAATGCTGAAAGAGGCCTTCCAGAGCAAGGATTCACAGGCCTGGAAACTTGTCTTACGTTGTGTTTGCAAAGCAGTTACTAGATTGCGTTTATTGGGGGTCTGGAGGACTGAACCCTAAGTACGTCTTTCCCTCCTTGCAATGCCCTGACCTTTCACGTCAGGGGAGCCCATCTGAAAGCCCGCAGGCCAGACCACCCCATTTCTCAGATGGTCATGGTAAGGATCAGGGAGACAGAGTTGCTTAGTAAGGGTCCCTGCAAAGATGCACTTATCTAAGTCACCTGGGTGACAGAGATGCCTCTCTGGGCCTTCTTGCTTGAAGTTGGGAGCTGAGCTTTTTAAACCAGAAAGCCTTGGGCTAGCAGGCACGGAGACAGCTTAAGGAGTTGAATGCAAGTAAAGGTTTCTGCATTTTCTACATTCCTACATTCCTCCACCTCCTCTTGGTTTAACGGAGTTACAAATGGGCTGGTGGGCTAACTGCTCTACAGGGTACCTATCACAAGACTCCAGGCAGCTCCCTCTACCACTTTCCCTGCTTCGGGACAGTTCTTTTGGTTGCAAATAACAGAATCTGACTGCCCAAGAATGGGAAGGGCTTTGGAAGGAAAATACTGGCAAATACAAGAAATGAACCAGCTAGCTTTGGGAAGGCCAGAAGCTGGGCCACCCTGGGCCTCCTGCCTCTAGGGCATGGTGACGTCCCTCCATCCTTGTGACTGAGGCAAGCCCAGACAGCCCCAGAACATGGGTTTACCCTTTCCAGCAGAATCCAATTGGCCTTTTTTTTGGACCTAGCATCTACCCTGCCATACAGGTAGGGGCAATGTTCAAATTGTGAGCGAGGTAGTCATACCAGATAGTGTCTACCAAAGTGAATGCTGCTACTTCCTACTTTTTAAATTTGTATTTTAAAATATGCACTATAACAGTAACATGTTCTTCCCTTCCACCCTAACCATGCAGTTTCTGTTCTGAGGGAATCACGTAATTAGTTATTGCATACAGATCACCAGCTCATTAGACCCCCGTCCCGCCCCTTGCTTTTCCCACTCTTGGAGTTTGCTCCAAATCTGTGCTCAACGAGCTTCCTTATTCTTGATTATATAGCTGTGTAGCATCCCACTACTGAAACTATCAATTCCTTCAATCTACTGTGGACATTTTCTTTTTTTTCATTGTTTCCAATTCCATCTCCCTACTCTTTGGGTCATCGTGAGAAAAATACGCAGAAATTTCTACTAAAACACTCAAGATGATGCAAAATAGTAGTTCTGGGCCAAATTAGATCTATGTAAGGCATTTTGTTCAGCCAACCCCAAAATTTTTTAAAATTTTCTGAGTCAGTAACATTTAAAAGAAAATTCAACTTAAAAATCCGAAGTGCTAGCTCCTAATAAAGAACACACAAGATCTGGCCCCTCCGGGCCGTGCTCCCACGTACCTGCCCGCAGGAGCTGAGTGGGGCCAGGGGAACAGGGCGCACCCTCTCACCTTTGCTCTTCGTTGTTACTGCCTGTCTGATGCCGCGATCATTTCGAGGAACCAATGCCCCTTCAGAGGTGACATCCCCGACCTAAAGCGAGTAGTGTGCTCTCAACTAAGGACCAAATGAGGTAAAGACTAGACGCTGCTATTCATTCATTAGGTTACATTTATTGAGCCCTCAATGAACAGAAAAGACACCATATTGCCCTCACCGTGCATTCGCATCAGGATCTAAGACCACTAAGGAGACTCAGAGCGGCGCTGGCGCTGACCCTGCTTTCGGAGGTGGCGGGGGGGGGGGGGGGGGGGGGCGTGCTGAGTGCATGAAGCGGTTAAGAGGCAGCCTCCCTCCCCCAACTCTGCTGCAGGGCTCTGCACAGCCTTGCTGACCAAAGAGCAGCTGCGGGGGTTGAAAAGCAGCACCCACTCTGGGCTCTTGTCTGGAAGCAAGCAGGAGAAACAGGACAAAATGGAGCCAGTGGGGAGAAACGGTGTGTCTGCTCCACAGATAGTTGTGGTTAACCACGAAGCATCAAGATTCTGTCCTTCATTCAGAAACCACCTGTGAGCCTCCCGCTTTATTCCAATTCTGTTACATACGCTGCTTGAAAACGTCTCCCTTTCTGCGAGGAATGCTGGAATGAAGCTCCCACTCTTCCCCTCTCCCTTCTTCCCTGCCCGAGGCCCATTCAAACAGCAGGGCCACTGTTGAGAAGTGCCTGCCGCAGTCGTTCTCATACCCCCACAGGCGCTGCCCTTCCCCGCCCACTGGTGGCTGGGGCCTGTCAATGGGGCTTGTGTCCTTCCAGCCCCAGTGGACGGGGCCAGCCGACACAGGAGGGCTGAGGGTTCCCTCCTGCTGTCATGGATCAGTCAGGTGCTACAGATAAAGAGGCTTCATAGAGGCACCACAGCCAGATTCCTGATGCCTGTCCCCTTGCAGGGCAGATCCCATCCTTGCAGGGTAAATCCCGTCCTTGCAGGTTTCAAAGGTTGGAGAGTTCTGGGTCCTACGTGACCCCAGGGGGGATTCTGGTCTTAGGTCCCCTATCTTGGTTCTTGAATTTCATCCTTTCAAGATGATCTTGAGAGCTTTAAGCTCATCCTGGTTGAGGGGGTTCAGGTTAAAACCCTTCAGCTCCGGTTTGCCTAGGGGGAGAAGACAGCCCATCAGTGAGGTCAGGCCTCCTGCTGTCCACCCTGCTGGCCCCAGAGTCAGGCCCAGGAAGGGAGCTTATGCGCACGTGCACTGCCAGACAATGGCACTGAGGTCTGACAGGGAAGGAAGGGCCTCATATCTGCAATGTACTGAACAACGCACATCGACACTCCTTCCTGAGTCACCAAGAACCTGCAGAATCACGACTCTGCTGCCCAGACACTGCTAGGTTTCTATCGCTCCTGTGATCAATCTGGAGTGGTTAGGTTTACCTTAGAAATTCGGCTTCTGAGTCAGGGCTGTCCTGGTCCCCACACCATGCCCTGCCATAAAATGTAAGATACCCCAGGCTATTCCTGGAGCCAGGAAAAGAACTTGTGGCAGGAAGAAGACCCCACAAACTGCCTTGTCCATTCCACCTCGGGATGGCTAGAGACCACCACTGCCCACTGCCCATGGCTTCAGTGCCTCTCACGTGCTGTCCAGACCACTGCCCACCTGGGAGGAGCTTCCCAACCCTGCCCTTAAGCCTGTGTTGATGGTTATGTCCCCTCCTGGTTTCCTGTTTGTGTCCCCCGACTCCACCCTATCCAGGCTAATACCTTGGGCCTCAAAGAGACGGTTGACCTTCACTTTAAGTTGTTTCCGGAGTTTCTCTATTTCTTTATCCAGATGCTCCTGATCTGAAAAATGAAGTAGGCACACAGGATGAGGTTATACTCCAGACCGAACAACCGAAAGGCGTCAGGGAGGCCAGCCTCTCCCTAGCCCCTTTGAGAGCTAGGGTTCTTCACATTCTGGAAGGAAAAGGGGACTTCACAGACCAATTGAGCAAGGAACCAAAGGCTAGAGAAGCAACGTGACCTGCCCACAACCACTGAGTGAGCCCAGGATCGGGCTGAGCAGACCATTCCCGACCCTCAGTCCTCTGACCTGTGCGTAGGGAAGGCAACATCAGTATTTTAGGTCACCCACTCACAGTGGGATTAGGGAAAATTCAACTGTTAGAATAAAACGAAGAGCCTACACCCACCTATCCTAAGATGGAAAGTTGGAAAATGGGTGGCTAAGGAATATTATAAGCCCAAGTCCATCAAGCGGTTTTCAGAAAAGCATGATTGTGGTAACACGCAACCTAAAGAACTAAAATAATCAATGGGCTAAATGAATGCTTAAGTTTAACCTAATTAGCCACAGTGAATTGATAAGGTTTTCTTACCTTACCAGACTGCACCTGAAGGCAAACTGCACTATGAGAAGTGAAAGCTACAAAGCACAATGATCCACACCCAGGAGGCCTTACCTTTCTCAATCATTTCCTTAGTCTGAGGGTGAGACATCTTGATAAACATGTTCCCGAAGCAAACCATCACATCTTCTGAAATGGCAAATGTTCATTCATTCAACAAATATTTTTGAGCACCTACTACCTGCTAGACATTGTTTTAGATACTGAGAACACAGTAGAACAAGACAAAGTTCTTACACTCATAGAGTTTAAGTTATGGTGGAGGAGGGGAAATAAACAAGCAAAGATATCATTTGTCAGACCCTGACAGGTCTAAGTACTATAGAGAAACAATGCAGGGTAAAGGGGAGGAAGGAGAGTAGGGGACGGGGCTTGTCATTTACACCAGGTGGCCTGAGAAGACCTCACTGATTAACATCTGGACAGAGGCTTGAAGAAGGTGGGGGTGTGAGTCCTGAAGCAGAGATTAGTAATCTGCTTGGGGTGTTAGGAACAGCGAGACCAGTAAGGATGAAGACAATGAGTAAGGGGGAGGGTATAGATGATGTTAGAGAATATCAGAGGGTCTGGAATACGTGGGGTCTTGCAGGACTCTGGGTTTTACTCTGCTGAGATGAAAAGCAACTGGGAAGGTTTTAGACCTTCCAATACACTTTAAACAAAATTGACATGTCTCCCCTTCACTATGGGCTGGCTTCTGCCCATCTTTCCAGCCTCATCACATGCCCTTCCCTCCTTGCTTATTCTGTCACAGCCACTTGGCCTCTAAGAGCCCCCTCCCCTCCTCCAACACCTACCCCACACCCATTCCTTTCTTCAGCTTTCTCATGATATTCTATTATGTATTGATGTTTTCTACTCACTTGTAGAGCACAAGGGCAGGAACCGCACAGTTTGTATACCACCCACCCGCTCCGCCTTCGCCCCCCTCGCCTCCCCCCAGCACCTTCCCTTTCCCAGTGCCAACACCGTCACAGCCTGTCACGGAGGTAAGCAGCAGAAACCCTGAGCCATAGGCCTGTGTCAGACCTATGACATTTTCTCCCTGATCTCCAAGGGCTATGTCACACTCCTGCAGCCTCCTGCCTGGTCTCTGTTAGGGACAAGGCAAAGGCCTTAGAAGGAAAACTGAACAGGCTTCCTGGGCTGTAGTGAGGAAGTCTTGACTTACCAGATAGGCTGAGATCCTTCTGCAGGGCCCTCAGGCCCTCTCGGTTTTGATTCCTTTTGGTGTCAAGGTCCACAATCTGAAAAGCACAGGGGCACGGGGAACTCAGGCACTTCTTGTCCCAGCCTGTCACCTCCCAACAGACCCCCGTCTCTAGTAAAACCTAACAAAGACAAGGCATTGTCTCTGGGTTACCTCCACTGTCCTAAAATGGACTGATGTGTAAATGTATTTCTTCCCCCACTCAGTTTCCAGGTCCTTAAAAACCACGTGTTTGCAGGTGTTTTCCCCCCAGTAAAGGTGCTGGAAAAATGTTGACTAAACAGATAACCTTTTATTATCCACATGAGAGCTAGTTCCCAAGTTTTAGGGGATTTCAGAATCATCAGGGAGTGGAAACCTCTTCCTGGGCAAGCTCCTCCAGCTGATTCTAACCTAGTCTCAGGAGAGGCCCAACAATACTAGGCTGGAACAGAAAGGGTGGGGCACTGAGACGGTGGTAAGGACACAACAGCTATTAAAGAACTGAGGAGGGACCATAATACTCTGCTTTAGAGCCCGGCCTCTGGAGTCAGAATACCCAGGTTTGAATCCTGCTGCTTGCTATGAACTGTGCAATTTGACCTTCCTATTTACCTCTCCGAAAAGTGAAGATATGAACAGTATCTACCTCATAGGTTACTGGAGCAGGAACGAAATGAGTTATTAACACAGTACCTGACACATGGTAAGTACTCACAAACTTTAACTGCTGTTATTACTATCACTCACACACCTTGATGCAGCGTTTCATAGGCTCTTCCTCCAAGTCTCACCCTTCTCGGTAAATACCCTACCAACCAACCATCCATCCAATCATTCTAACTGAAGATGAAGAGTCATGAATCTCTCTTGATGACTCCTACCCCCCCCCACCACATGTAACCATCATCAAGACGTACTAAACCCATATCCAAAATATATTTCTGACCCATCCACTGTCTCCATTACCAGCATCCTGTTCCCAGCCCATCCCTCTCCTGGACTGGGGGATCCTTTTAAAACTTGAATCCAATTCCCTCTTCTTTCGCCCCCTCCCCCCATGAACTCCCTTCAAACACTTGGTACCTCGATTAGAACCAGACCCGAACTCCCTGTTCAGACCTACAAAGCCCTCCGTGATTAGGGTCCCAGGTTCCTCCCGCACCCCCACCCCTGCGCCACCACACACCACTCAGACCCCTTTAATGTGCCTCTTCTCCCCTCAGGACTTTGACTGGGGTGGCGGAGCCCAGGTCAATGAGGGAGCCCGGGAACTGCATTTTGAAAAAGAGGTTCAGGTTAACTGCCCAAAGGGATCCAGAGGGCACAGTAAGGGGCAAATAAAGGACGGAGACGGGGGTCACTAGCACAAAGCGGGCGCTCCCCTAACAGGTGCTGAACAAATGGATGAAGCGCGGCGCTCTGCCAAGCACTTGCCCACGTAACCTCAAATTACCATTTGTTGGCGTCACCGCTGCTAGACTATCAGCCCCGGGTCTACTCCCTGCCAGCGGGCGCTGGAGCCAGATTCCGGGTCCCGCGCGCTTCCCTACGGGGCTCACCAACAGGCCCCAACCGCTAAACCCGGGTTCCTGCGCCACGGACGCGCCTCCTACCTGCCGCTTGTCCGCCAGTACCGCCTCGGCGAGCTCCTCCACTTCCACAAGGTACTGCAGCACCCGCTCCGCCTCCGGTGACAGCATGGTGCCCGCCCGCCAGCTCCCACTACAAGCTGCGCTCGGGCTCTGCTCCGGCTCCGCCTGCGCACGCGCCGCTCTGACAGCGCTTCCGGCGCGCATGCTCAATTAAAAGAGGACCGGCGGCGAGCTAACTCCGACGAACGCGCGCCAGCTGAACGCGAGAGGCCTATCTTTGGGGGCAGGGCTAGAGCGCCTCCTGCAGGGCCAGAGAGCACTGACCTCAGTGCGGCTTTTTAACCTCTCCCTTTCTCCCTTCACGTCATTTCTTGAGCACCCGCTATGTCAGGCAGTTTTGGGGAGTTGAGAACGCAAGCAGTGAACAAAATAAAGTCCCTGCCCTCGTGAAACTTTATCCTAGTGGGAAAAGCTGACAATTAATGACCAAAATATTAATTATATACTATGGCATATAATACAAGAGATAGGGCTGGAGAAACGTAAATCACTCTTTCCCTGTTTGAGGAACACGAAGGAAGCCCATGTGGCACGGTGACTTATATTTAACCTCTGACGCCTTAAGTTTCTAACTTATAAAATGAGAGTGAATAAAAATCTCTCATCGTCTCTCTGAAGGATCAAAAGAGGCAGGAATAATTTTTAATTCAGTTTGCCCAATGTTTATTGAGCCCCTACGTTGTGCCCAGTGTGGGGAGTAGTGGACCTAAGGAAGGGGCTGGAAACCCATGGGCAGTGAGCAGTGACATTCTGAAAGTGCTGGAAAGCAAACTGTTGTGGGCTGTAGGATCCAGGAGGACCTCCAAGAAGAGGCAGTCAAGGAAAAACCAGGGGATTCCCTAGAGATCATGCCCAAACCACTCATTGTACAGCTGGAAGAAGCAAGGCTCACAGAGCGGCGAGGACTTTAAAAGTCAACAGCAGACCTGAACTAGAACACTGACCTCTGACCTCCCCAAGTCCGTTTTTTTATTGTCCCCTTTTCGCTCCTAATAACCAAGCTCTTTCACCTCCCTTGCCTTACTTGAATTTCATAAACTTTGTATGGGTGGCTTACCCATGCCCCATTTCACAGCTGCAGACTGAGGCCGGGAGAAGGGCAATGGCTCGTTACACAGAAAGTCAGGAGCAAACATGGGTCTAGAAGCTCTCTGGTCTCCATACCAGGGCTGCCTCTGAACCCTGAGAAAAAGAACCCTCCTCTTTGCCTGCCTTCAGCTGCCAGAGGCGGAGCTAATTTTCCCTGCAGCTGCCTGGTGTGGGGAAAAAAGGAGATTCATTAAGGATTTCTCATTGAGGGTGAATTTGTCACCAAACCCAGGATGTTTTGTGTAAACACCTTCTGGTTCAGAAATGCAGACACAAGCCCTGGGAAGGAAGTGGGATATGGTTACCAAAGAAGAAACATGGCTCAGCAGACACCCCTGGGGCGTGGACCCCAGAACTGCATCTCCTCCTCCATGGGGCCCAAAGAGAGCTGGACCAGGCCAACCGCTGATCCCTGCCAGGTGGACCTGGATGAGGAAAGGTTGATTTGAGGGAGGCTCCCAAACTGGCAGCCTCTTGACTGTGACTGGCCCTTTGAAGTTACCCCTGCTGCTGGAAGCGCTGGGGTGGTCATATCTAAGACTTTGAAACAGTCCGACCTGGAAGGACTCTTGTTTCAGAACCATCAATTTACAAGTATTTATTGACTCCCTTGGCCCTGTTTTAGGGAGTCTGCCATGAACAAAACCAGACATGGTCCTTGCCCTCAGGAGCTTCCAGTCTGGTGAGACAGACAATAAATACATGAACACGTACATATATCATATTAAGTGATGATAAATACTCTGGAGAACAGCAGAGCAGGCCAAGGTGGGGAGGAAATGACGGGGTGAGGGCTATTTGAGATAAGTTGGTCAGGGAGGTCTTCTCTGAAGACGTGTCACTGGAGCAGAGAGCAGAAGTAGAAGAGGTGAGCCATGTCGGTATCCAGAGGAAGAGAGCTCTAGGCAGAGGGAACAGAACGCAAATGCCCTGGAAGTTGAGAGAACAGCAAAACCAGGTGGGCAGGACTGAATGAGCAAAGCAGAAAGTTGGGGATAAGATCAGAAAGGGGAAGGAAGTGTCCTGCCCAAATTGGCAAAGCCCTCCCTGGAGGTCATATGCAGACACAGCTGTCCAGGTCTGTGGCTTCCTGCTTCTCTCTGCTCATGGATGTTAGCTGAGTGAGGAATGGGGCGAGTTAATGCCCACAGGAGTGGCCCCCAACCAGGAAAAGAGAGGAGTTAGTGAGAGACTAACTTCTTTGCCCCTCCATGGGACACCGAAGAGGAGACTGCTGCAATCCCCCAGGTAAGACAGGATGGTCGCTGGACCAGGGGTAGCAGTGGGGATTCTCAGGGACTTCGCATATACTCTTCCCTCAGCTGGGATTAATTTTTCCCCACATCTTTGTACAAGTGTGACTATCACATATCTCCCATTTCTCCCGCGGGTCAAGAGTCCCCTATCACCCTCGCAGCTCTCTGGGCTTCCCCATCATTGCGTTTACCACACCATCTTTTTTCTCTAATCATCTCTCTCTTCAGTCGGGAGCTCCTCAAGGCAAGGACATTGTCTGTGTCACCAGAACCTAGAATGACGCCTAGCACACAGTAGGTGCTCAGTTGATATTTACTGAATGAGTGAGTGTACTAAACCTGAAGCAGAGCTTTCTACAATTCACTGTATCCAAAGATGAACAGAGATAACTCAAGGACAAGTAGTTCCCCATCCCAGAAGGTATGGGGACTGCCACATGGTATTGGAGAGGGTGAATCCCCTGCTATCCTGGATGGGAGTGATATCTACTAAGTCTTCCCTAATCAGATAAATTCCACCTGGTCACACTAGGGTATGCCCCCCATCTTTAGCCACCCTAAGCCCATGCCAAAAAGGATGTGGCTGCTGGGGCTTTGGCGTTTGGGAATTGGGGCCAAGAAGAGTGATACTTCCCACGTTCCCCTGGGACCCCTTTTTACCATGTCTGTGAGCCTTCCTTGGTTAAGTGACCAGCACCTACTTCTCTCTTTGGGGAAGACAGCCCTCAGACTCCTGGAGCCTCCTGGGTGACTTACCTTCCCCACAAGCTGTACCCCATCATTTCAGGGATTTGAAAGCTCACCTTCCTTGCTTGGGCTGCTGGCATGGTTGTGGGTGGGTAACTCTGAGATATAATTACACTCCAGAGTCCCCTGTGGGATCAGGCTGAAGCAGCCACCCACAGACATCCACAAGCCCTGCTGGCTACCTCTGCTTCCCAGTTCTGCCTCTCCCACTCCCTTATGGTCAAAACCCTCCAACGCTCCCGTCTTACTCAGTAAAAGCCAAACTGCTCACTGAGTCCCATAAGGCCACACATGAGCTTCCCTAACTCTCTGGGGCATCTCTTACCCCTCTCCTCACCTCTTGGCTGTTCTTCACACATATCAGGTGCAGTCCCACCTCAGGGACTTTGCACTGGCTGTTTCCTCTGCCCGCACTTTCCCCTGATGTCTACGTGTCCCCATCCCTCACCTCCTATCAGTCTTCGCTTAAATTTCACTTTCTCAGTGAGGCTTACCCTGACCACCCTATTTTAAAATGCAACCCCTGCCCCTCTAGTACTCCCGATCGACTTCCTCTGTTTACTTTTTCTTTTTTTTCAAATAACACTTGTCACTTTCCTGCATGCTATATAATGTATTTATTGTTCTCTTCCCTCTGCTATAAAGGAAGCTCCCCGAAGCAAGGGACCTTTGTCTCATTTGTTACTGATGTATCCCAAATGCCTAGAGCAGTACCTGGCCTATATTAAGGTGCTCAATGAACTTTTTGAATGGGCGAATGAATGAGGAAAAAGGCCAGAACTCTAACCAGGACAGATTTTTTTCTGGTGCCAGGCTCTTAGCCCCCATGCTGGAGGTGGGGAGTGGGGGCGGGAGTGGCAGGTCATGCCAGGCCCTGTTGGCTAAGGTTAGGGAGTTGGGTTTTGTTTTCAGATCAGTGCGAATCTACTGGATGGTGTTGAGCAAGCCTGAGATGTGACTGGGTTTCCTTTGTGAAAGTCCCTCTGGCTGTGGGGATGAAATGGGCTAAAAGGGGCAAAAGTGGTGCTGTCTTGTGCGCGCGCATGTGTGTTGGGAGTGCGAGGGTGATGATAGGGACTGGGAGAGGTGGCGGGGCTGTGGCTGCGCTGAGGCTGAGAGCAGCAAGAAGCCAGTTCATGTCCATTTCTCCCGGCAGCCTGGGTGGCTGCCCCACAGGCTCTGGGCTGTGAGCAGTCCCGGCCAGCTGCTAACAGCATGCCCCTGTCCCACAGATGGGCTGTGTTCTCTCCTGGGTGGTCCCCAGCTCCACTTCCTTTGCGTCCTTGTGGGCTTGGCAGGTGGAGGGAAGGCCTCCACTCCCTGACTCCCCTGACCCAGAGAATAATCCCTTATATTCATGGGATTCTCCTCATGCCCTCATTTCATCCTCCCACATCCCCTGGTAACACAGAAACCTGATTCCCATTGGGCAGATGAAGACATTGAGGCCCGGAAAGGGGATGGGACCTCCCAAGATCATGCAGCCAGATGGGCACGCCGGGTGGAGACCTGTCTCCCAATTCCCCACGCTTCAATTTCATCAGGCAGCAGATGGTCCCAAGGCTTGACTTGAAAAATCCTAAATGACCTGAAAGAGAATACAAACCCAGGACATTCCAGACCTCCCTGAGCTGGTCTTTACCACTACCTTTAATACTAAATCCATTCATTTTAAATTCCATGAATAGATTCTTATTTAAAAAAAGAAAATATTACAGAGAAGAAAGTTTCTTTTTGATACCCCCTCCCCCATCTCAGTTCCTTCCAGAGGCCCAGTTTGGGTGTGTCTTTTCAGAACAGTGACATTCTTTTAAAGACACAGTTAGGCCCTGGTTGGTGTGACTCTGGATTGAGTGCCAGCCTGCGAACTGAGAGATCGCCAGTTTGATTCCCAGTCGGGGTCCATGTCTGGGTCGTGGGCCAGGTCCCCTGTTGGGGGCAAGCGAGACTCTTGCACATGATGTTTCTCTCCTCTTTCTCCCTCCTTTCTCTTCTCTCTAAAGGTAAATAAATAAAATCTTTTTA